CACGCCGCCGGACAAGAGCCCGGCCAACCAACACCACGCCGGCGGTGGGAGGGGCCAGCCGTACCAACAATGGCGGCCCGTGACGTCACAAATCTGCCGTCGCCGCCGAGACACCTGTCGGAGGAGGCGGCGGCCGAGCGGGCGCCCGCCCGTGGCGCCGCCGTCAATCAAGCGGCGCGAGGGGTAAACAGTTTCGGTTTCAGGCGCCGTCTGCGCGGAGCCATGGCTGCGGTCGCCATGCCGCCACCACTGCTCCAGACATTCATTACGACGGGGGGCGAGAGAAGCAATTTCCTGCGCTCCCGCTGGGCCAAGTTCACTCATCCGCTCAACTGCTCACCAAAATAAACGCGGTCCGGTCCAGACGACGCGGACCGACGACGCCTGGCCCATTCCGCCGTCGGCCGTGCAAACATTGCGGCGATGATGATGACCTAGTCGGGCACCCGCAGGCGCCTACACTCGCGCGGCGTCACGAGAGCCGGCGACGACGCAACGCCAATGATTCTCCCCCCTCGCTCGGGGGGCAATCGCGCTTGATTCGGCGCCGCACGGCTCGCACCTCCAGTCACGTCCCGCACATTCTTGGAAAAAGGGCTCCCCCCTCCCCGCCAGAAGCTTACATCTCCGGTTAACTGCGTGCCCGGACTCGCAGAGCAAAACGCTCATTATACGCTCAGGTGCCAGCCCTGCTAGGCGATAAAATTTTCTGCGGGGTTAACCTAGTTCAAGGCGAGACGCGCACCACTGCGAGTCAATAGGCACCCTAGAGGCTGATGAGGGCACTTAACTGGCGCCAACAGAAATCGAAAGCAGAACTAAAAGACCAGTGGGTCAGAGGTGAGCTTTCTAAGAAAAGAAAAATAGCAGGACGTTGACGGCACGACTAAAACAGGCACGATCTCAAGCTTGCCAAAGGGGATATTTCATTTACATTTTAATGAGATTTCAACATCCTTATTCTATCTCCAAGATTCAATAATGGCATTCGCAGTTTTTCCACGCACATGCCCACATCATTTAGCCTTTCCTTTGTGTGCCACTATGAAAATTTTATTCGCTGGATTTTCCCACATTGTGCACTTCCGCAGGCCTAACGCCCACAAAAGAAAAATATGGCATTGGCAATACCGAAATCAGTGATGAAATTTGTTCGATATATATACGAAAATGTATGGCCAGATATATATATACAAAAATGTGGGGCCAGCGACAACATAGTTCAAGCTCTTCGAACTGTCCTTTTAAATATGTTGTTCACTGGCCAAAGTGAAGTATACAGTAGACTCAGTAAACGGAAATGTATTAAACAGAACTACTGCTTAAATGAAACTATCACCTCTGCAATGCTTGGTTTCATGCTTGTATTCTGCACCCATGTTCATTTCTCTGTTCACAGAATTCCTGTTAAATGGAACACATTTACCCACTCACTGTCTACTGTTATTGGGAGGGGTCGTTTGTACTTTGATGAGGCCACTTTCAGGTGTAGTATTTGCAGTGTAGAAGTGAACATGACGTAGCTATCCTTTACTTCTGTATGTCTTTTATCGGCACTGCTTTCACAATACATAGCACAGAAGTGCAGTCAAATTTATATGCAATGCAGTCGCCAATAATTGATAAACAGTGCAACACTACTTGGCAATGGGCTGTCACCCCAAGTGTGATTGGCTTCTCTTGTGAACACCTCTAGTGTTCGCACTGGTTGCTCAAGGCACAATTCAATATCAATGCAATGACATGTTTTATAGCGCACCACTGAAATGCTGCAAGAACCAAGCAGTGATGTTGTGCAATGTTTAGCCAACTAGAAAAGTTTTTGGCAAGCATGCCCCAATTAATGTAATGTACAGGTATAATCAATGCCACATAATAATTGTTGGGGTTTCACATCCCAAAACAACAATATTATTATGAGAGACGCCGCAGTGGGGACCTCCAGACATTTTTACCATCTGGTGTTCTTTAACGTGCACCTAAATTTAAGCCCATGGGCCTCGAACATTTCCGCCTCCATTGGAAATGCGGCTGCCGCAGCCTGAATTCGATCCCTCGACCTGCTGGATATCATAAATTTAATTAGCATGTGTGCCATGATAGGCACTTCGCTATTCTTTACAAATGCACATACCAAGAGCAATATTTCGAATGACAAGCAGTTTGGATACTGTAGATCAGCCTAATAAAAAAGTTCGATGATTAAGGCCAACACTTTAACTGAAAGGACAAGAAAGTTGCATTTTGCACAAGCATCAAGGGCTGCACCTCATCAATAGAAAGAACCTCTTGTGCCCATTGCATGCAATTTTTCCTGCTTTCATAAATCCATTGGATAAACTTGAAAAATAAAGGCAAATACAAGTAAGCTTTCCAGCCTATAGCCTTTATTATTTAAAGCTTTGCTACAGTGCTACTTGCAAGCATACTGAATACCTGAAGTACACCACAGCAATTAACCTTGTATCAAGTTGTCTAGCTGAAGCAGTTCTGACAGGTAATATTTGAAACACCTACACCATACCTGTTCGTTACATCAGAAACAACTAAATGTGCCACTAAGCACCCGCATTTTTTTTTTTTGAAGTGTTGTTACAGCACCTTACTACGTCCTAAAAGTTACACATACCTTGATACAAGGTGCATAGGTATGCATAGGGTTCCCCTTTCGAGAAGGGCCAAGGTTTATCACAGTGCCCCTACTTCCTAATAAGACAAAGCACCACACAGACATTCCCCCTTCCTCTACCCTCTCTTGCACACGTCTACACTCATTGGTACTCTCATACCTGCACAGAACAGTGAGAAGAAATTCACACTACGAGAGTACACCTGTGCTCCATGAAGTGTTTCTCCAGAAAACCATGATTGAAGTAAAATGGTTGATAGCCACTTCGTGCATCTGGTAAGAATTACATAAGTTAGACTAATCACCCAGACGTTCGAGTTGCCAGTTGTGCTTATAAGCGGACTTGAACGTCTTTTTTCACCGAGTAGCCTGCAGAATTTTCTAGACGCTTGTTGACATTTTTTGCGCTTACCAACATTTTCCCAGCAACTATAGTTATTTAGCAACCATCGAATTCGCCAATAGCCCATTTGTTGACGACTATGCATAGTTGAGTGTTGGAAGCGAATCGTACGTTGGGGGAATCAAGCAACGTTAATCATACACTGGCAAACGTGGATTGAGACTACCTCGGAGACAATGCATAAAAGTAAATATACGATTTTGTTTATAGTTGTGCATATACCTCGCTGAACAAAATGACTAAGGTATTTTTGAAATTCACCCTTGCATTTCAGTGGCATTTATTATAATTAAAACATTTTTAATGAAAGAAAATGAATTAAATATCTACCTCTTTTGGTCACCCAGACATCCACAAGTGCTGAATTTGCACTACAGGCGTCTTTCTTGAAGACATCATTGCATGCTTAGGAGTCATGTACATGTACAACCAACGCCTCCTAGATTTCCCGTTCCTGCCGGATGATCGCGAAACGCCAGTCATCTATGGCGGCGCTGCCTACGTAGAGGTAAGGGACTTACGTACGGTTAATTATAATTACGTTTATGCCTTTTTAAAAAAACATCTTTGCGTTATTTTTGTTGCATATAAGCTCCAAAAACGTAAAAACCTATTTGAAGACACCCCTACTTGAGTGGCGCCACCACCGTAGTTCCGACGACCGCCGCTTCCCAAGTGACCACTGATAATCCGGCAGGCACGGGAAATCTAGGAGGCGTTGGTACAACCTAACATTGAAGCGCTAAGTAACTGGTCGTGTGTAGGATAAAGGCACACTAGATGAACTTCGACTAACAATTTTTCTTATAGAACTTTTAACAGCAAGTTAAATTTAAATTTCACATCGAAATCTCAGCAGCTGGATGTCACTGTGACAACAGACATCTGCCTGTTATACCACACGTTTGATAAATAAAACTTTCCAACACTTGCTATGACAAGTAAGTTTTCTAAGAATATCATGCAATTCTATAAATAAAGGCACATGCAGAGTTCTGTCACAGCAAGCATGTGCGAGCGTCAAAGCCGGCATTTCTTTTTTCATGCACTTTCTGGCCTACAAGCATCTAAATCCAGCAAGCGCTTATAAAAATTTTTACATTCACAATTAAATTATACATGAAGTGTGCAGAACTCAATGTGCACATCAAAATAATCACAATGTGCTATAAGTGTAAACTTTCTGCACTTCTCTCTTATTTACCGCAGCCATGCACAGCAGAGAACCCTAGAAAGACTATTGTGGTGCCATAGCATATATTTTCGATACCACAGCCCCCTAACAACTTTGTTTCTATATTGAGGATGTGGCTTTTGCATTGACATGTCGTCATAGTGGGTGTTCTGGGGAGACAAACTTGCGACATTCTAGCAGCAGATCTGTCATCTACTTGTAATGCCCGTAAACGACCACAAATGAATTGTCATGATCCCAACAGCAATTCATGCAATTTACACTGCATGCAGACTCGGTGCAGGTGTTCATTCGTCAAGATAAATGTTCATTGTGGTGGGGCTGGCTTACAGAGCTCAGCGATGAGAACATTAAAAAAGAGGCGAAATATTCTCAATGTGTTATCTGAGCCCTAGCGTGGAAAGTGCTAGCAATGCACACCAACGAAATAAATATGTTCCTTTAGCTATGTCTCAAAATCATGTCAGTACTTCAGGAATAGTCAAGTAAGTCTGCAACAGCTGTCAATACATCGACATATATTGCTGTCCTTTCATACACTCCTAAGGATTACTGGATGTAATAGAAAGAACAAGCGTTAGAAATGACACATCGTTCATTGAAAGCAGGTGTAAAGCAAAATGATTTGGAAGAGCATGCACTGCATTATCGGGCTGTCACTAAATACGCCTGCCGCAATATGCTACCAAATGTGTGTAAAACTGGCCTGTGTGAGACTAGCTTACAAGAGAACATTCGTGCACTGGATACATAGACAAGAATGACACAAAGGCTGGCATGAAAGCAATCTTTTAATGGCAGCTCAGGCAACAAGGGCCGAAGCTGTGGAGGACTCGTACCTCCAGGTGGGAGCCAGGATACGCTTCGCCTTGTAGTAGCGCACCAGCCTGTGGATTCGGCTCTCGACCAAAATGAGACGGAACTTGGAGTCGCGGTCCTTGCGGTTGCGCTCTAAGTGTTTGCGGATGGCCACAGCCTTCTTGATCAGTGAGTACAAGTCCTCTGGAAGGTCAGGGGCTAGGCCCTTGCCCTTCAGGATGCGCAGGATCTTGTTGCCAGTCACCCAGCGCACCTGCAGTTGCCAGGAAAACACACTGAACTCAACTTACCCATCACAATTAAAACACGTGCCATATTTCCTTTTGTATAAACAAGGGTGCAACAGCCAAGATAGAATTTGGAGCAGCAAAATGTTACTTTTGAAGCACTAAAAACGTATCTGAAGGAGGTTCTAGGGAAAAACATAATTTTTTTTTATCACAAAAACCAAATTTAGAGCAGTATCAAAAAGAAGGCTTACATTAAAAAAAAAAAAGATATGTACAAACCATTCAACATACCCTAAATCGTGCAGAGTGAATATGTGCACTTCTATCTCAAAACTATTTTCAACCCCCCACTCGGAAAAAATGATAAAGTCCACATTAGCATTTGCCACGCCGGTCAAATCCTTTGGCAGGTTCTGAGGATTCAAATGTGGATCTGTCAAGCTGGCGACCTTAGGGGTGGGGGAAAAAAAACACACAGTTCTGTTTGATTTTCTCGGGGCTGCACAAATGTAAAACAGTGCTCCACGCAATTGCCAGTAACTTTTTTAGACGTCAGCGATCATACAAGTAATTCACAATTATGCTGCATATACACACATGAGTAACTGAACAAACTGTGATGTGACCAGTGAAAATGGCAATAGCCCCTTAAAACTTAAAACACTTTTCCACACGTCTCGGTGTTCTGCAGCAGTACACTGAACACCAGGACGCAATCGGTGTACATCATACTAAACATTGAGCAAAAAAAAAAAAAAAAAAGGCAGCATCACATGACAATACTGAAGCCCAGTCCTACAAATGAAACTGGGGCATGCTGGGAATGGTTGACTTGAAGACACTAAGCATGCACCCTCCTAGGTTTCTTTTTTTTCTCCTCCTGTCATGGTGCTGAGTTCCATGTGCAACAGCTGAGTGAAACTTTTCCTTGGGTCAAAACGAACCCCTTTTATTGATTCAACTTCTGTGAGGACCAAAAGCAACACTCTTTCAAGGAAGATGGCAGAATGTGCACACCCATAAGTGCAACAAATTAATTGTAGCGTCCCAATATAATGAACGTCGTTCTATTGAAAACCATTGTACTTACAGCGTCCTTAAATTTGTGCATGCTTTTCAATAACTTCTTGGCTAAAAAAATTTTAAAAATTTGTTCTACTCTGTAAAAAAATTCAGGTCAGGAAAGGAATATAAACGTGGCAAAGGAATCGTGCAGACAGCATTAAAATAAGGAGGGAAAGGGAACGCCGTGTCAAACCAATAGATGTTGTATACAATCGAATCCCACTATAATGAGGTCCACTACAACTAAATTTCTGCCACAAGTAATTTTCAATTCTCCGTCACCCGCCCAACCACATGTGAAAGATGTCTCGTCACAGTGAATACTTTTCCTAGATGTTTCCACTTCAAGCTTCCATGAAGCCTTTGTGAGTACTACCACATAAAGAAAAGGAGCTTGCCCAGCAGTACCGCAACACCTTCTCTAACAACTCTGCAATTCTCGTTGGCTCATGAGTTCCAGAGCCGGGCGGACACATCGCAACAACTGTGTCTTTGTCAGCGACATGCTTTCTGCCGCCAGACACATAACCCGGTAAATTTTTTGCCATTAGGGCATGTTCATACTTGAGAAGTGAGAGAAAACAAAAATGCCAGAGCGGTCGAAAAACCATGATAACGCACGTCAGAAATGATCACACTCGTTCTGCCCCCTCCCGCCACCTCTGCATCACTACCTTGACAATTAATTCGAATTTGCCTGCTTTCTGAGAACTAAAGTTTGTACAGAATTCTAGTTAATCCATGCAAAGTAGTGAAACGAAACAGCTCACACCTTTCAGCAGTCAGCAGAAACAACACAAGCGAACGCAACGACGGCGGCATATTCAGCTGGCTGTACACAAACGCAAGACAGGTTGGGGCATGCAGACTCGCCGCTGCTGCACCATCTAATTGCAGATTTCTCGGTGATCGTAATTCAAACCAGGCTCTCAATGACCATGTCCTCAATGAGGCCTTCAAGCTTCATCGTGCTGCACGGATAGTTTGCGATTTGAGCCTATGTGAGCCACCGCCGACTGCGTTGTCGCCACGTTGAATCTGCGGCCCGCTGGTTAGATCACGTGGTTTTATCTAGCGCAGCCAAGGCCGTGAAGCGGAAAATGGATAAGTCTTCGTGTGGCGGGAAATTGGGTCTTGGACTGATCCTTGCACGCCGGCCACATGGCATAGCTTTCCGGCCAGTTTCCAGAGAGTTTCGCCACTTTCGCTCTCTTCGAGAGCCAAGTGTAAACGCGCCCTTAGAATGCTCAGCGAGAGATCGCCCCTACGCCATAATGCGGGCGGTGGGTCTAATGCGCGTGTGGGCTACAGTAAAATTGTTCTTCAGGAACCTTTGATGCAGCGCTCGAAATGAAAGTACTGCTCATTGTCACTATCCTTGCAATGATGAATGCCACCGGCAGTGTCATGAAGGCACACACATTGCCAGCGCGCACCAGGTCCAACTGTGACAAAGTTCAGCTGCAACCAATGAGAACACAAAGTCGAGGACCGATTTTTCGGACCGTCAAGGGACCGCGAAAATGTCCGAAAAATCGAGGCAGCCCGAAAAAGCAAATGTGCCCCCAAAATGCTCACTTTATTGCTTACTATTGAGCCGGAGGGCGGAAAAAGTGATTCATCTTTTTCTGGACCATGTTTCACTTCTGTGCGAGCATATCCGCCCGCATTTCGCGGCTAGAGTTGTCATGTCGCTGTAAGCCGACGAAAGAGTTGCGAGCGCTTGCATCGGCTCAGCTTGCGTCGGCTGTGTTGTTGCAAGTAAGCTGTCGTCGTCATCGTCGCTCTCTGACTTCGCAAGCACTTGGCGTATGATTTCCTCATCCATGAGGCCAGCGCAAAGTTCTAACTCGCTGTCCATACAGACAAACTCGGAAAACGAGACATCTGATAGAATCTCGATGACCGCAGTGCGAAGGTCATCGATAAGCTGCCGCTTTCAGACACCTGGTCGACGACACTGTGCTCGTCCAAGATGGCCGACTCTCCATTCAACACAAATCCCGCGTTGCAGAAACAGATGCGCAGCGTTGTCGATGTCATAAACTTCCACGCATCCGCGGGCATGCTAAGTGCCCCAAGCAAATCGACCGAGTACGCTTTTCCAATGTCGACGCACACCACCGCACGCGAAAGCAAGCGTGGCCGATAGTTCACTTTGAGAGTGCGTATGACACCCTGGTCTATCGGTTGTAGGACACTTGTGTTCGGTGGCAAGACCTCGACGTGCACAGCGCAGTAGTCGACAAACGGCACAATTTTGCGGCCTTCTAGATGAAATTTGCCATCTAGTCTTCTCACATCGCTTTCAAAAATCTTCTGCATTACCCAGGCCTTTTTGTTGGCCTCGTACGAAACGGGCAGGGAATTTACACTTTTAAAGCACCTTTGAAGCTTTCGACTTGCCAATGACGAGCACCGGCATTTTTTCTGTGCCTGACATATTGCTACCGATCAGTGCAGTAACTCGCTCCTTACTATGTTTCCCACCATAACAAGGGTCACCAGCAAAGGCAAGAGTCTTTTCTGGCACCAGCTTGAAAAAAAGTTCGGTCTCGTCACAGTTCAAAGTATCGTCTGGCGAGTACTGCTGTAAAAGAGACTGCAGCTTTTCAAGGCGGTAGTTCACAACGTCGCTGAGGTCAACAGCTGCACTATCACTGCACAGTTTTTTCAAACTGAAGTCGGAGCGCTTCTTAAGTTTTTGAGCCAGCCGTCACTGACCTTAAATCCTTCAATCTTCATTTGAAACGCCATCATCTCAGCTTTCTGTTTGAGGAGGCCCCCAGAGACTGGAACCTTGCTGGCCACTGTCGACTTCAGCCATACGAGTAGGGCCTCCTCGAGCTTGGGGTTGGTACCTTGGCCTGATATTTTTCTGACGACATCCAGTGGACTTTTCCACCGCGTCCAAGATCTATCGCTTGTTTTTGATGTAGTCCGAAAGAGTCCGTTTTGAAATATGAAACTCTTTCGCAACTGTCCGCCGGCGATCGGCCACTTTCCGTGACAAACTGGTCTTTTAGTTTCCTGCTTTCGATTTCTGTTGGCGCCAGTTAAGTGCCCTCATCAGCCTCCAGGGCGCCTATTGACTCGCAATGGTGCGCGTCTCGCCTTAAAACTAGGTTAACCCCGCAGATGGCAGCTTTTTTCGCTATCGACATGGTGACATACTTTCTGCGCTTCACCGGAGCTATCGAGGCAGACGACAACATCGACGATCCCCTATCTATTATAAATGAGCACAGTTAGCTAGGCAACACGCGGTGAACACGCTGGAACATGCACAGACAATCAGTCGTTGCGTTCCCGTCAATCCAACGGTCACAGCAGAGAAGAAAATTTTTTTCGGCAGCGACACTGATGCGGAAATAGCCTCGATCCAGCAGTTCGAGGTAGCCACCCTAGCGGAGCTAAAGGCCGCGCTCACGGCCAGCCCCAATTCGAGGCTACTGGAGAAAAAAAGTAAACAAACGATGGCGGCGGCAGCGAAAAAATGCTGGCAGTCGGCTCGACTGACGCTTGAAAGTTCCGAAATATCGAACAGACCGTCCTCAAGTGTCCGAAATTTCGAGCTGCGAAGTACATCAACTTATAGGGTATGTCCTGGTGCCGGGTAAATGTCCGAATTATCAAGCGTGTCCGAAAAATTGGGCCGTCCGAAAAATCGGTCGTCGTCTGTACGTGGTTGTGTCGACGCGATCATGAAAGACCATGAAAGTATGCAAGCATCTAATGCGCACCGTCGCAAAGCAATGTCAATACTGCGGACAAAATCTCTGTAGACGCAATGACAGCAACAATCAGGGCAACGATGCAGTTCTGATGGAACACGCACAGGCACCCGAATTCAAAACCGGGAGCTACTATCTCCTGCAACCACTGCACAGGAAGCCGTGGTCGCTATCCTCGATTGTGAATACGCCCCAAAGGTATACAGACAAAGCAGTAGAAGATTAAAGGCAATAAAGCCATAAAACAGCATGAAGCGTTACGACTGTCGGTGTTGTTCGCATGCAACAATGATAGTGCGGACCTTTGGCCCACTCGTTCGCGGTGCTGCGCAATAAACACGCTCCAAGGGTAGTGCGAATATTGTAGTTTCTCGTGTACTGGTAACCTAAAAATTTAGCGCAGCAAAAGTAACTTGACATACTTTCCACGCGTAATAGACGAAAGCTGGAAAAAGCCCTTGTGAAGTTAGGAATGGTTCTGCGGAAATTTATCATTACGCCTCTATATCATGAGGACAACTCAAACTCAAAAGTCACACTAGAAAACAGGAGAGAGAGGCATGTAATCATATTGCCACGTGGTTGTGATGGCAAAAAAAAAAACGCAGTTGCTAAAGTTAAAATGCTTTGTTGGGCATACTTGTGCCCAGTAAAAAAGCAAGAGCGAAAGCAGCAAGCACAGACGTCTGCAATGCGAACAAAAGCACAGCATGTTTCTATTTTCACATGTCTCATTGAAGATTCCAGCAGTATCACTGGTGGTCAGGTTAGTTTCAAAATAAACTGGAAGAAACTGTCTTGTTGAAAGAGTCTAAAATAATCGGAAGTTGGCAGACGTTCAGACGCAGTTTTGTGCAAGGTAGCGGTAGCATAAAAACAGAAAAACAATGTGTGGCAATTTCGTAAATTTGGCCTATAATCCCCCCCCCCCCAAACCATAACTATTAGTTTTGTAAAGTTCATGAGGGACATGCACAGTACCTGAGCCACACCATGAGAGTCCCTAAGGATGACACCAATCTGGGATGGGGTGAGGCCCTTCTTGGCCAACTTGTAGATGTGCTCCTTGACATCATCAGGGGTGAGCTTGAGCCATGTGGGCACACTCCGCCGATATGGCAGTGCCGACTGGGAGATGCCCTTGCCACTACAGTGCATACGCCCCATCTCGAATGCCTTGTGTTACGCAACCCTGCAGACAAGTTGGAACATGCTAATCTAACAAATGTCACAACAAAACATAGCTGGCACAAGATGCCCGAGTCACTATAGAATAGTTGCAAGAACTACAGAACAGTTTTCCTACACAACGAAAATTCCAGCAAGGTTTTGTTGTTGGGGACAGTGTTGCCAGACTGCTGCAAAATCTTGCAGTTTTAATTGTCCCTACAGTTCTAGCTTTCCTGTAATGTCGTGCAGTCAACTCTCACTGTTTTGCTAGCCAGTAATCCACGTGCCGCTTCGCGGTTCTCAGTATTTTGCCATCCACAGTGGTAAGCCAGAGTGCGTCACGCCTTCTGCGATGCTATCGAACCAGTCTACCCAACAAACAACGCGCGTTGCTCTGCATAGTAGACACAGCAAGCACAGCTACCTAGGTATTCTACTTAAGAGATGAGATTGCTGTATCGAAATACTGCCCACGGTGTCCGAGCTTCTGCGAAACCCTTCAGTTACCCTACTAAACCTGTTGCACGTGGGCATCCTATTTATGGTGCAAAATTGAGTTCGAACACGTGAATTCCCTACTTCCAAAGCACGATGATGTCCGAACGGAACATACCATGGTGAAAAAAAGAGGCTTTGACTAATGCAACAGACACGAGCCATTAATAAAACGGCCGATATTAACAGACTGCGCAGACATGATGGATTACACAGAAACCATATGGGAAAGCTGCAACTGCTGGGGCGAATAAGTCCGGCAACCGACTTGTGCAACACCAAATCGAAACATGCCAAAATGATTTACAAATACTTTTACTAATAATTATTATACATACAGTTAACGAAAGGCCCAACGTCGCGCAGGAAGAATCTAAGCAGTTGCAAGGCAAAAGGCAGCCGCAGGAAACGAAAAGTTTAATTTATACATGTACAAAACGTGGACGAGAAAGGTGCTTTGACGCTAGCTGAGCCGGCCTTTTATAGGCAAGGAGGAGGAGTGTGCACCTCCGCGATTGAGACGCGTGCAGCATTTCTGTGGGACGCATCCAGCATCTCCAACAAAGATGCTGGTTGTCTCTAGTGTCTCTTGTAGGAAGGCCAGCAAGGGAGGGGGGGTGGAGAGGATGCATAGCGCGTTCATAACAATACACATATATAGGAGAGTTACACGTGATGTCCGCTTAGGGTGCTAGCGGCGTTCGCCAGTGCTCCGTGGTGGTGCTTATGTCGCACTTTATCGGTTCTGGCAAACGGCGAGAGAGGCTGTGTACGTGAATGTGCATAACCCTGTAGTGTGAAAAGATAAGCGTGCAGTTGGGAAAGCACAAACCACCAAGATGGACGCACTGCCAATATGACTGCGTGGCGCCATCCCTGAGGGTGGGGGGCGTGCAACCCTACAATATATATATATATATATATATATATATATATATATATATATATATATATATATATATATATATATATATATATATATATATATATATATATATATGGCTGGGCCAGAAAAGCACTTTCACACGCCTCATTGTGCTCGAATTCTTGGCCAGGTACACTGCCCTGTCGTTTTTGCAACTTATTTAGTCAGGAGTTGTAAAACATATTACAGTCCATGAAATACTATGAGCATTCAAAGGATTTTGTTTGACCAAAGCTCAAGTTTTCTTAAGATGGTGGGCCACCTTCAAAAGTCTTTTTTTTCGCGAAATAAATTTTTAGGGTTTTGTTTTTCTTGCACGCCCAAACATTCGCATATATGTTGCAACAAAAATTATCCTCCTAGCGCCATTAGTTGGCGAGTTACAGCAAGTTTTCTATACCCTATGCTCTTTCGAAAAATCGCTTTCAAAAGCAAGTGTTGTTTTGTCTATATTAATGCTATTCAAAATACTTTATGCATTTTATTGCGACTGTTATATAAGATGATGTCATTAAATACAACTTTGTGTTTAAAAGTCTTCGTTAATCTCTAACAACAGCCACAAGGGGGATGCACGATGCTCGTTGAATTTTTGTTGTTTACCTTGGTCAGGCTACGTCAGGCTTCGTTCTGCATTTGTTCCACGTGTCAACGCTACTAGGGCTGTAAGGCCACCTGGACCATATTACGACCAGCTTGGGAAGTGCAGAACACAGAAGACGAGGAAGAGCAAGTTTGCTGGAAATCGCTACACGACGATGAGGCTGCCTACTGACATAGACGCCGGTATTTCGAAGACTGCGAAGAAGCTTGGAGACATAAACAAGGCATACCAAGCTCCACTAGAGAATTCTGCGCTCCAAGAGAACAGGATAATGGACATTGGTATTCTTTCTTCAGTGTTTTCATCTCTGGCATATTCCAAATGCATGAACTCAATACTGAAGCTCGAGGAACGCTCTCACCAAGGGATATGCTCGGCTTGTGCAATCGTGTGTACCGACTGTGGGTTCAAGCGCCCATTTGATACGTCGAGAAATGTGGGTCGTGCCAATGAGAACAATTTACGTCTGGTTTAGGTGATGCGCCAGTTAGGAAAAGGGCACGCTGGTGCGAAAACTTTTTCCAAAGTGATGAACATACCTGCTCCTCTACGTCACTCCGCCTACGACAAATTGTCATCTCGGCTTTCTGCAGCGGTAGAAGTGGCGTCGAAGGCGATGACTGATGCTGCTGTGGAAGTTCGTCGTGTTGTGGGGAGTGCAGAGTGTGGTGTTTCAGGTGATGGCACGTGGCAGAAGCGCGGCCATTCATCTTTGAACGGTTGTGTGCCTGTGACTTCTGTTAACAGGGGAAAGGTTATTGATGTTGAGGACCTTTCTAGTTCGTGTATGACTTGTAAAACCAAAAGCAAGTTGAGGCAAGACAGTGCTTCGTACCAGGAATGGAAGGCAAACCACACTTCCTGTCAAGCAAACCATGAAGGAAGTGCTGGCAGTATGGAGACGGTTGGTCTATACCAAATATTTAAAAGGTCGAAAGGCAATTCCAAGAGCTATGCCGCTGTCAAAGACATGTATGGAAAGGCCAGTGTGCAGAAACTGGAATGTATTGGGCATGTCCAGAAGCGTGTTGGCTGCCGCCTCAGAAAACTGAAGAAGACAGTGCGTGGACTCGGTGGTAAGGGAAAGCTCACCGATGCCCTCATTGACCACCTGCAAAACTACTTTGGCATCGCCATAAGGGCTAATGTGGGGAACGTTTCTGCAATGAAAACGGCTACCCTTGCCAGTCTTTTTCATTGCAGCTCTACCAACAAGCAGCCGGGACATGGCCTGTGTCCACTTGGACCGAAAAGCTGGTGCGGATACCAAAGGGTCGAACACTCGTCCAACAGAAATATGTACACAAAGGAAGACTTCCAAATGATGTGCTCAACAAAGTTAAAACTATCTACAGTGATCTGTGCTCTGATGAACTAATGAAGTGCCTTCATGAAAAGACTCAAAATGCTAATGAGCGTATCAATGGTCTAATATGGCATCGGGCACCCAAAGAGGTCTACGTAAGCTTGCCTACAGTAATGTTTGCCTTGCATGATGCTGTAGCACACTTTAATAATGGCAGTGTAAGCACCCTAGATATCCTGAGGCAAGCTGGCATAGAACCAGGGTACCACAAGACGAAAGCTTGCATCGCTTATGAATTCTACGCACTATGAATCTGGTGCATTTTAGGCCTGCATGCAAAAATTGTGACGCTTTTTGCAAGCTCGGAAATCTTTGTTTACGTTTTTCTTAAAATAACAATTTGCTCCAAATGTTGCGACGCAAACTTTCATAACGTATTTCTCAGCGTATACTTTGAACTGAAATTTTTCACAATGATTTACAATACATATATAAATATTATGCAGTGAATATCAAGGAAGTAATGCTAAAAAAAAACAAAAACGGGGAAAAAGAGCCAGTTTAGAATGAACCTGTTGGAAAATTCAGCTGTGAACTAAAAAATATTCTATGGATTTCATTTATTCTAGTTCACTGCATAGCTCCAGCCATTAGTTACACAAATGTCAAAGCTTTACTGAATAAAGCCACCCATTAGTCACTTATCACAGCTGGCGTGGCTAATACTTTTAATGCAATTTTCCACAAAGAATACCTCCCAATAAATAAATATTCAATATTTTGCACTGTAAATAGCTGGGTAAATTAAATAAGACATGCTGGTTTTGAGAAAAAAGTTATTTCAACGCTGCCTGCCCTTAAAAATTTTTTTGTTTTTGAGTGGCCTACCACCTTAATGCATTGTGTACACCAGACTGCAAGCACTCATGAAAATATTGACACAGTTATGATTTGACCTTTTAACTGCAAGTATGGTGAGCAAGGTACTGAAATCTTGATTGAAAGATAGTGGCAAAAGTGTTAGCTTTTGGTGCCACAGCCCGTCCTTGAGTTACAAGTTTCCTTTGACTGCCCTTCACATTCTACAAGTGTGGTATCGGGGTTTTCGTTTACTTTTGAAAAACGGTTCTCTGGCCCCCTAGAGAGTGTTGTACAATTGTAGACTTGCGATAATTCCTACTTTTGGTTAATTCAAACATATTTCAATTTTTGGCTGGTCTTTAATGTATTCAATCTTGGTCTTTCAATGTATTTAAAAACCTCTTAATTCAAACTTCTTTATTAGGTTAATTCATACTTTTTTGCAGGAACATACTAGAAAATATCAGCTGCTTTCCCACTATTGTTTAAAAACTTGTGTGCTTATATCCAAACAGTCTAAAGATGAAAAATAAGCCCCTGAGGCCTTCAGAGAAAAAGGCTTTGAAGTATACAAATGTTTGAAACAAAGCACCAAACTAAATTCAAGAACCAGACGAAACTGCCATCCAGATCATTCAAGTACTGTCGTTTGGCCAACCCTTGCAATTCCGGCACCACAAGATGATTCATGACCAGATTCCACACGGCATACGTGATGCCAACCTGATTCGGTTATTCAGATGGGGACGCTTTCCTTGACCAGACAGAGCTGGAACATGCCAGGGAAGAGGAGCACGTCAACTGCGCATTGCAGCAACTGGCTGCGGGTCA